TGTTGAAAAAGTTGCAATTGGTCGGAATCGCGAAGAAAATAGTAAAGGACGCTTTTAGCGACTTTTTTTATCTGAGATTCTAATGAGAATTAGATTTATGTTAGTTACGTGTAGGCTGAAAATTTTATCGATATCGGTTAACGTTGTTATGAGATACAAACGGGTAAAAAAGTTTAATATCACAGTTTTTCGCGACTTTGGACCTATAACTGTAGTATATCTAAAGATTCTTACATCTTTCGATATCTGTTACTCGTTTCTGTAGCAACCGAGTTTAATAAAAGTTGCAGCATGTGTATATGTATAACTGATATAAATCTTTGAAATGTATTTATTAAATTTTCATTACAGTCTCAGACAAAAAAGTTGTAAAGAACGACATTCACTATTTTCTACGACATTCTGAAAAGTCGCAAATTTTTCAAAATTCTTTTAACACATCATTTAGTAAACGAATCCTTCTAACTTCACAAAGAAACTCAAGTTAGTTGGTCCAATTTTGAAAGAGTTGTTCTGTTTTAAAGGGTGTACGAATACTTTTTTTACCCACTGTAAGTATTGGGACAGCTGCCCAATACGAAGAAAATGTGATGTTTCCTGAATACTAGAACTACCAGCATTGAATACCATCATTAAAAAGCCGTATTGACCACTCTAGGTATTTTATTTTACCTAGTTTCAATATATAGTGCTTGAATTTTTCATTATCTAAATAAAGAGTTCCGAATAATGGATAAAAGATGAAAAAAGTACTGTGCCTTTTTTAATCGAATAAACGTGGAAATTCGAATTTATATAATAAAATAATATTTCTGCTTGAATTAGTGGGCACTTGGTAAATAATTATTTACTCTCATTAACTGTTTAAAGGTCAGAACTATGATCTTAAATACTGTTGCTTTTCACTACTAATAAAATTATGCCCAACTCTGACACAGAGTAGTAAATCGTATATAACGAATAGAAAAAGTATAATGAACAATAAATGATTAATTGTAAACTTAATTATTCCTATCGTTTGGTAGTACATATGTACTATGAAGTAGATGCGAAACAAGACATATTGATAACAGACTAATGAATAATTGATTCCAATCTCGTTACGTGTAGATTCACGTGCGGAAAAAGCTTGTCCAAATAATCTAGCATAAAATTAAAAATGTTCATTGTTATAGTAACTAGACCGTGATTCCTACACGAAACTCGTCTCACGGCCAGTATAAAAATGTCACAGATAGGAATGACGTTATTCAACGCTTTTATTCGCCGATATCACGTTGACCTCGCGTCGCGATCTAGAAACTCTGTACAAAATGGCCTTTAGGGGTCACGGCTATACCGGTTACCGAAATGGGCCGGTTGCAAAACGATGTTGCAGAGAACGAAGCCGTGTGTGCTCTCTTTGCTCCGTTCCTATTTTCCTTTTGCATCTACGACTGGGAGACGGATCGTCGCTTTCTCCCTATTCGTCGACGAGAAAGTCTTTTCTGTGAAACGTACGAATAAATTGGCCTCCCTATCTGCTCCCATGACACCCGACCGATACGTTATCAGTGCAATAATATTCCCTTCTTCGATGGAAACGTAACGTTTGCCCAGCTTCAACAATGGAATTATCGACGATCAGTGCACAACAGATGTTTCTATCGAAGTGTGATAAAATAATACGGTTTTGAAAAATATATCGATTTAACCTATGAATTCATTTTAACCCATAGGGTTCTTAATTGCGTAGTCATCTCAAGCAGAGTTTTTATCGTTAAATAATTCATTCAATTACCTTTTGTATTGCTAAACACACAGTGAATACAAGATTAAATACTGATTTTGTACGAAAATCACGGTTATTTAGTTTTGACTGATGTAATTCAACGACATTCGTTTGAAGTTCGCGCGTTGTTGTCCGCCATATTGAATACAAATAAAGTGTCTTATATTTATACATTATATCTCTTCAATATATTTATATTTTTTCTTTCAATATTTCACTAGCTTGATTGAAATACGATCGATATTACTTCGAAATATAATGGGATTAAAAAAATTTTCGATTTCCTTCGAATCTGTTAGACGCCAGTTGGAGAAAAATTGCATAGAATCTATTCCAATTATATTGGGTTATCAAGTATGAAACTTGACGAATACAACGTAACAACTTTACTTTACCGATTTGAGCCAAATGAGCCAATATGGTATCATATTCATAAACCACACGAACGTTTCGATTTTTCCATGGTTCTGCACAAGGAGGTCAACCAATAAAACTAATAAAGATATTTTAATAAACAAATATGACTTATGAAAAGTGAAGATGCACCCTCAAACTAACCTAATATTGAAATCCGGCGCGAAACGAAAGATTATCCTAAATGTAAAAATTTGCGTTTTGACATTTGTCAACTTTCATGCTTAACCCCTTGCCATACGATTTTTTCATGATATCAATCTCAAGAATTACTTTATCGTTAATATTTTCCCAGATACCAAAGTAATTATACTCTTACGGCAAGTGTTACAATTTATTCTGAACCTTAAATGTGAATACCAGCAAAACAGTAATAATATCTATACATGTTTACTAAATTCAGTTTAAAATAATATACGCTTCGATGAAAATTTATTTTTTAAAGTTCGATGATACCTTTTTGTATCCTTACTTGTAATTTCTTTCTGCTCTGTACACGACTGTTCAACAGAGAGTTGGCAGTTTGCACTTTCGAATACACATTCTTCGACGGTGCACATATGCGTGACCGCAATCTGGAGGGCGTTCGTGACAGAAAATAACGGATCCTCGTGACAAAGATATAAAATATCGTTTATCCAGGGAATTTTGTAAGGCTACAGGAAATCACTCGAGGCGTCCGATAGTTATTTTCGAACGGTCTGCAATTACGTTTGCGTAAGTTACGTGTACGCACGCACGCCAATGTGCGGCGGCGTGCTGTCGGTCACGCGCGTTTTATTTACGTTCGACAGGTTTCGTTTTACGGGGCCTGTCTTTCCTTGTAATCACGATCATTTCTCTGCCCGTTAAGCGTGAAATCTGCCGATTCTTCCGTCATTTTTATGAACCCCGACGGCTACGACTGCAAAAGTTTCCGACTCGAGTCCTATAATACTATTCGCTGACTGTAACAAGTTGCGACATTAATGTGCTCTGAAAAAGACATTAACCTTTTGCACTCCAAGGCTCTTTTATTATAAGCGACAAGAAATCTAAAGATATCTTTGTGGTGTCAGTTTTGAAATGCTTGAATGTTGCTTTCGTAATAATGATTTCTAAGATTTACACAATTTTATTTTATTCGTTAGTTTAGTGTTTAGTTTGCATTGTAATAAGCGTAACTCACTTGGATTTTACGGTGATTAATTGGAAAGGATTAATATGTAGTTCGTATGAAATGTTCTGGTGAATATTTGGGAAAATTTGAAAATAACTGATGTTGATAGATTTTTAATGTTAGGAATTATGTACGTTTACCTTAAACACGTATTGATCAATGCTGCTGGGCTTTTTGAAGAAGTTTGCTTCGAATAGTCTGGATGTTGATGACACTGTTATCATCATCCTAATTTCGCATGGTTCATTGATTTATGATAGGAAACATTGTTAGGTAAATATACACGGTGAAATTGTAGAGACAATAAAAATAGACGATATCTAACAAGACTCTTATGGTATAATACGTTTTCTTATGTGCCCTTTTGTGGAAAAATGATTCATTGACTTTCAAATTACATTCTTCAGTGAATTTCGAATTTCATACTGTTTTACATGCTCATTATTCACTTGTCAGTTGTCTGCACGTTTATGAAGTTGAACATGTACCAACATAATTACTTTAATGACAGTTCCATGAACAGGAAAACGAGAAATCATGGGTTGATTTCACGACGTGCAAGCGATAAGTTAACTCATCTTCCTTGGTTAACAATTTCATTGAAATTTCATCGACTGACTGGTTTTCCCCACAGTTTAGGCACAATTGAAAAAACAACATACTTGGTGGTCAGTTCAACTTGACCACAAACAAAGAAGCATGACTTCATATTATTATGATTGTCGCAATTATAAAGTTGCGAAAGTGCTGAAAAACGAGCTGCATCGACTAATACATTAACCCTGCTGTTTTCCTCACTTATTTTTCACGTTTGTATTCCTTTGGTCAAAATAATTTGCTCTTACGAAATGGGAAATACACAAAAATTAAATGTAACATTCAAATATGTTGGATATTAAATACGAATAATTAAAAATATTCAAAACAGTCTTCATTCCAGGTCATTCAGACCGAAGGAGAACAGCATGATTGAAAACTACATGATTCCATTAAAGAAATTACAGTTGACCTTCATATGTCCTCTACGCTTCCACCTACAAATGAACTATCCACATCAAATTATGTCTCCCTCGAAACCATTTAACTTTTGTTGGAAACATTGTCTGATATCACGAATAATTTCGGAGACATTCGAGGGGACCGACTGCAATAGGCTATATACAGGGTGCTCCACTTAACCTGAGTACCTTCAATATCTCATTTGTTTTTGAAGATACAAAAAAATGTGAGGGGAAAGTATTATTTGGTTAGAAGGAGCAAATACTACTGTAAACAAACATTTTTCCCAAGGTCATTGATGTTTGTTTAAATGGGACTACATATTTTTATCAGCCTGGTTTAACAGTTAACATCAAGACCAATACAATGACTTATAACAGTGTGACCTTCATCTGACCTTGAATACGTAAAGTCCACAAATGTACGGGAGTAGATTTAAATAATAAAATAACTACGATAGAGGGATTACTGCAAAAACGCATCGAAGTTGATGGACATCACTTTGGGCATTCAGTCAGTTACTTGTTCACGTTAGGTGGGACACCCTGTACAAGTCACTATTATACTCACATTACACCTCTGCTTCATCAGCAATCTCTCGAAACGAAAAACCAGTCCACTTTTCCTAAATTCTCTAAACGATCGTTATTTTTCCAGGCGATGTCGGTGTTGCCCGTGTTGTTGCTGCTCGGCGGCTGCTCGGCCCAGTGTCTGACCGGCAACGACAATCCACCAATGGTGAACCCGACCACGAAGAAGGCGTTGGCCGACGGCCGTTACGCTTTCGCTCTGGACACCCTGAAGAAAACTGCGCTGATTGAATCGCGGGAAAATATTTTCTACAGTCCCCACAGCCTCCATCAGGCGTTGACCTTGGCGTACTTCGGTTCCCGCGGCAACACGGAGCAGTCCTTGAAGAGAGCGCTGCACATCCCGAAAGGCCAGTCGAAGGTCGACGTACAACGATACTACGCGTTGGAGAATTCCATCAAGCAACAGATCGACATCCAGGTGAGGGGAGAGCAACGCTCCGCGTGAAATTATTTGCGGTTGCATCATTTGTCGTCTGAGCTAGCAACTATTCCAAGGCGAGCCACGTAATCTCCGGGGCATCGTGGGCCCGGATACCGAATTGTTCAATCGTCGTTGCGCGTGTCGTCGGCGTCCGGTTCCCTCGTCCTTGGCCGTACACCATCGATTTGCCGTTCTGAAAACTGGCGCGGAATGTTATAACACGTTAGATACAGAGTACGACGATACACTTTCAAGGCTCGATTGTACATTCACGAGCAAACTCGGCTTTCACTAGGGGAAAAAAAGGCGTAGAAGAAAATTCTTCTACTACCTGGTAAATTTATCCTAGGTATGGAGATAAATGTTAAGTCGAATATTAATTTGGCATAAATTTCAGTAATTCCAAATACCAACAGATAGGAGCATGGTAGGAGGCCCTTCTCCTACGCCACTTTTTCCCCTAGCGGAAGCCGAGTTTGCTCGCGAGGGTACATTCACGAGCAAACTCGGCTTCCGTTAGGGGAAAAAGTGACATAGAGAAAAGGTCCTCTTACCATGCTCCTACCACTTGGTATTGGGAATTACCAAAATTTATGCCAAATTAACATCCGATTTAACATTTGTTTCAGTACCTGAAATTAATTTACGAAGTGGTAGTATATTCTTCTCTTACGCCACTTTTTCCCCTAGTGGATGCCGAGTTTGCTCGATTGGACCTTGAAACGTGGATCTTTCTGCTTGGACAGGCGGCCTACGTGGCACAGTGGTTCAGAATAGAAATTTAATATGTCAAATGGGCGGAACGAAATTTCATTTATTTTTCAAATAACTAGCATCAGTTCACTCTTGAGCTTCAAAGGTATTTTCTGTGAATAATTTTGAAAGTATAAATGGATTCTGATTAATAGTAACACGCGGAGTTGATATAATAACTGCTGAAACGCTACCAATAGGGATGTACACTGCTATCATTATTAGGACATTTATGAAATATCCAGTAAATGGTAGAGGGCATTATAAAATTGCTGAATATCTGAAATTAATATCGTTCAGGGGGTATTAAAGCTACGTGGACAACGTTTGTATTACTGGGGAGAAATAGAAATGACTTGAGATATATAATTTTTAGGAAACATTATATTTTCTTCGTATAGACCAGGTGTCCTAATAGTTATAAGCGGTAGTGCAGGTACAGTAAATCCTTGATGAGTGTTCGAAGGCTCCTCGGCACTGAACATTAAGTATTTCACAAATTAATTCAGAATTCCAAGCCCTATCATTGTGCTAAACATCCTTAAAAAGTCAGCCTTACACCTGGGTACCTCTCCTTGTCAGTGTCGACGAGTCTTTGAACACTCATAGAATATTTACCGTATTCTGAAAAGGGGATGGAAGAGTGAAATAAATATATTCGAAATTTAAGGAAATACAAGAAAATCTTGGAAAAATGAAACCGTGAAAGACTCATTCCATGCATTATTGTTTTTCGCAGAACCTTTCATATCATTGATCTTAGTGAAAAACAGAAAAGAATTTTCTAAAAGTTCATACGCTCATGAAGATGTTGAGAAGCTGTTATTGAATGATGTCATCAAGGAGTGTCCCTGAAATTCATAAAAATTTCTTTATCTACCTCTATTTAAATAAAATTATAAATGAACAAATTTTTGATCTAAATAAGCGTAGGTATTAGATGCTGAATTTTTATTCTGTACCACTATGCGTTTTTCGCTGACGATTTGCTTTATTTCCGCTGGTCGAATGACGTTAACCCATTGAGGACTAAGCAGTGAAACAATACGATTTTTTATTCTTTACAAAATTACATACCTAGTTGGAAGAAGGAATAATGATGAATAAATTATTAAGTACATTCCTGGAATTCCTTTTCATAACCACAATATCAAAAAAACAGAATTCAGTAAACTAGATAGCACATGACGCCTTGAACACGCCCATTTTACAGCTATTTTAGGCTTAAGGCGCCTTTAAGCCGTGTTCAGGACGTCATTGGGTGTCACGTGCCATCCAGGAAGTGTAAATTAACTAAAAAGAATTGTAAATGAAACGTTGCATATACGCAACATTGGTCCTTAATGTGTTAATGCGGTTAAAACGAAAATGCGGATGTCTTGGAAAGCGATAACTTAATCACGGTCACATTACACTGATTGCTTGCTGACTATTCGTGTATGCTACACGGTCACAGATAGGGACATCGGTTCGCAGACTCTGAGCTCGGTGTCGAACGTGTTAAACAGAGTGGTTCCGGGAAACTTTTTAACGAGCAGTCGTACCTGTCGATGACTCAGAGACTCGTTTCTATAGATTCCACGGTGTAATTATTAACAACGATTACCGTGTTGTGCTTCAACACTTCGCGGTCTGCGGTCTGTAACCAGCTGAAGCGCCATCTGATTCAAAGAAACTGTGATATGCAAAGTTAAAGTTTTCCGTTTTTTCTTCTATTCGTATGTTTCACACTTTCCTCTTATCGACAGACACGATAAGTTTTAACGTTTTCATTTGATTTCACTCTCCCAGGTGATTCGAGATAGTAGTTCTTCTATTTATAACCGAAAAAGGCAAACATGGGTATATTGAATGTTTCAGACAACAAATATCACTTTTTAAAATTTTTATACGATAAAACAAAGTATAATCTTCATTTTATTTATTCATCACTGTATTACACACTGCGTGGCATAACTATAAAATCATCTTAAAAATTTCAATCTTTATGTATGATGGTTAAAATAAAACTATGCTTCCTAGGGAATATAATCTATCCTTTTCTGGAGAAATGGTACTTCTCAATACTATTTCAGACATGGCATACTTGGTTCGTTTTTGTTTCAATCACAATGGGTATAGAAGAATTGCAAATTTTAGGGTGGTTTCATAGTTATGAGACAAAATTTCTGCGATTTTGTATACCTCACTAACGCCGTCAGTGTTCGTTACTTATGTTGCATAGATAGAATTGATGAAGGTATAATTTGAATGCAATGGTTCCAAGACTAGGTGTATGTCAAAATAATGGCTATTTTTCCGTCAGGAATTTTGATTAATATTGAACTATAGTTATAGTATCTCTCATTTCAAACAGTTCACACCTTTTTAGCTAACAATAAGTATGACGAACCATTTACTGAAATCGTAAGATAACTACTTTATACTCTAATTATATTCAATATACTAGCAATAAATAGACTGTGGAACTTTATGCAAAATCACATTTTTCGAAGTGATTTGTAAAGACAAATGTGAAGATTGAATTTTCCTCCACTTATTAAGGATTTTATTGTCATAAGAATGACACAGAAGATGTATTAGATCTGATGTTATCTTTACCATTTATCATATTTCACATGGTCGTACATGTTATAGATGCATATAATCCGCACTCTACCAATAAATAATCTATTATTTTTTTAAGTAGATTACCAACAAAGTTTACACTTCAATTTTCACTCTAAAATTCCGTGACGGCTAATTTACTATTAAATTCATTCTGAATTCCCATTTCTTATGCCTCTTTCGTATTTCTGCCGTCATCATTTTATTTCGTTTATATAATAAAATGATAAAATATATTACCATTTCGCTTAAATCTAACATTTCACCTGTATTCCAGGGAAATACAACGACTGACTACGAGTACACTTCGGCGAATCGGCTGTGGATATCGGACACGAGGAAAGTACGCGAGTGCATGTTGGACATCTTCGGCGATCAGTTAGAGAAAACTGACTTCCGTACGAATCCCGGTGCCGTTCGGGAAAATATCAACCAGTGGGTCAGCAACACGACAAAAGGTCATATTCGGGACCTTCTACCACCGAACAGCATCGACCAAGATACCGATTTGGTACTCGCGAACGCGGTCTACTTCAAAGGACGCTGGCAGAGTCGTTTCGATCCGGCCAACTCCAAGAAGGATCTCTTCTACAGTTCCGGATCCATGAATTCTATGGTCACGTTCATGCACCAGAAGGGAACCTTTAACCATCGTGAGTTACTTAAGAGTATAATTTAATTGATATTAAGTCACCTATTTGTATCAGTTCCATTTTTAACCCTTTAACGGTGTTTGATGAGTATACTTGTCATGAGAAAATGATCATTTTTTGGGTAATGACGAGTATACCCGTCATGTAAAAATATGAAACACCTTTTGCTATAAAAATTGAAATTTTAGTTAAGATTGAAAAGTATATTTCTTTTATTAGAATAAAGGAATCAAATTGGGTAAGGTGTTTTCATATGTATGTGAAATTTTCATACTTTCTTTAATTACGAATTTTATAAGTTTGTGTTAATAATATTTGTTATATTAATTTATTTTGTAACCAATAACAATACAGTTATTGGTTTTTAAATAGACCGTATCGTAGTGTTTGCCATTTTGTTATAATTTAATTCAAAGTTACAGTAGATGCATTTATTTTGCGGTTGACGAGTATACTCGCCATCGCTTGATTTTTATTACACACGTAGATATACATTTCCAAAACAAAAATCTACTGTTAAAGGGTTAAGGAAGCCGATCAATACTGTTTTTGTTGAAAGAAATTAGAAAGTTGGCGAAAATATTCCATTAAGCACGTAATGAAAGTTCAAAACCATGTGTGTTCCGTCGTAGACCGAAACGACGGTTATACAGTCAGACGATACCGTTACTTTTTATTATTTTATTCCTTCTTTCAGTCAATTTATATATTTTCAAGACCGACCCTTTGCAATTTTAATTTCGTTAACACAAAGAGAATAATAGACAAAAGAAGCGAACATTTGGTCTGCAGTCCGCCACATGCGCTCGGTAACCTGGGACCCATCCGCGCCGGGCCTTACCGGGGCGCGCTGACTCGCAGACAATATAATCATAAAACCCTACCGTTGAGAGACTCGAAAATTCGTCGCGGTCAACTCGCACCGCGACCACGTGCGCGATATTTTCCTGACGTCCGCTTCGCCCTGAAGGAGAGGTATTCCACCTCCGCGTCGCGTGGAAAACCCGAGAAATTTGCCTTCCCCTTCAGGGCATCACCAATAAGGAGGCGAGTTTTGGTCACGCCTTCATCAAACTTTGAGGAAGCGCGACGTCACACGAAACTCGAACAGACAGTCGAAAAGATACATTCAGTCGAAAACATTCATTAGAAAACACTCGTTCGCAAAACATACTCGTTACGACTAGAGTCACACGGACTCAATTCATTCGCATTAACTCGCAATCGAACAATCATTCGACAACATTCGCATCACGATTCGCCAGCTCCAACGGTCGAGCAATTATTCGTTTTTCTCACTAGAGAAATTGAAACAGTTGCCTAATATTAATTTGGCGGGCAACAGTCGCAACCGGACGCGTACCACGACGGTCGAGCCTGGAATTTACAACTCCAGGCGGATTCGAAAGAGAAATCCACGCGGACGGACGCGACATATTTTTGGTCCTTCGAGCCGGATTCATATTTTTGGTCCTTCGAGCCGGATTCACATATTTTTGGTCCTTCGAGCCGGATCTACAATGTGGTTCACACAACTATGAAGTAAATGTAACCCAGATAACACATGACGCCTTGAAGACGCCCATTTTACCGAGGAACCTTCGAACACTCATCAAGAATTTACTGTAAAAAGAAATTCCTAAAAATTCATGCGTTTGTAGAGATGATGAGAACACTGTTAGTGAATAACGTCATTGCAGAGGGTCCCCAAAATTGATAAAAATCTTTTCACATATCCACTTCTACTTAAATAAAGTTACAAGTTTCAAAATGTTTACTTGCTTCAGCTAAATAACCGTATGATCCGCTAAATGTTTAATTCTGGACCACATCGGGAAGAAATGGGTTAATAAGTACATTCCTCTCACAATTGTCGAAATTAAACGGACATCTAAATGTTCACCGTAACAATACGTCACACAAAATCCACCAAAAACTCTAACCAAGTCCATTGAATGCTAAAATCATCCTTCTTTTACAGTAATCTCCGAGCTCCTGGGCGCGCACATCCTCGAGCTTCCCTACAAAGGCGAGCAAATCTCCATGTTCGTGATGCTCCCACCGTTCGTCTCCGCGCGTTCAATGAACGGAGGTGATCGTGACGGTGTCCGTCAGTTGATCGAACGTCTGTCAACCGACGAGGGATCCGCTGAACTGAAGGACATCCTCAGCTACGGGATGCCACCCCGTGACGTTGAGGTCTATCTACCACGTTTCGAGGTTGAGAAAGAGCTTCCTCTGGGTACCCTGTTACATGCCCTTGGTGCTGGCGATTTATTAGCACCAAATGCTGCGGATCTTCGTGATTTCCTGGAGGACGGCGAGAAACCGCTACATCTGGGCGACGCTGTTCATCGTGCGCGCATCGAAGTCACCGAAGAGGGCACCACTGCGGCGGCCGCGACCGCTTTGTTTACGTTCCGCTCGGGCAGACCGTTGCAACCGGCGATATTCAACGCGAATCATCCGTTCGTGTACTTCATCTACGACAAACCGATGGGCACCATAATGTTCAGCGGGATCTATCGTTCGCCAAATCCTACGAAGAACACGATGGAGATGTCGTCCCGCTGAGGTGTCAGGAGGTTGTTCCTTTTGCTTGTTTGGTTTGTAAGCTTGAGTAATGTGGATTGGACGGACGTGAGCTGTGCTTGAATGAACTTGAGTGAATGTTTTCTGTGGATAATAATAGTTTGGGTGTGTGTTTACGAGTGTTTGTTCTTCTTGTTGACTTGACGTTGGGCCCTTTGAAGGTACTTTGATGGGGTCGAGTTTGAAGTGAAAATTATGAATATATACCCAGATAGCACATGACGCCTAATGACGCCTTGAAGACGGCTTAAAGGCACCTTAGACGCAAAATAGCCGTAAAATGGGCGTTTTCAAGGCGTCATGTGTTATCTGGATATCGAGTTGTGGGTGTTCTTGGCGGTAACCAGGGCGATTGGATTAACTCTTTGAAGCACAGGATTTTATAATAAAAAGAATGCCTTTTTGCAAAGAAATTTTATTTTTGTAAAATGTGACAAAATGGTTTTATTTTTGTTACTTTTTTATTTGGAGTATTTTCATGGTTCAAAGGTGGTATGAATAACGTCGTGTCGTAAAATACGAATAAAGTGGGACATTTTTTGTACCACTGTGCTTCAAAGAGTTGAAATATTAGGTCGTCCGGAAAGTTCGATACCGTTTCAGAACGTAAAATGGCAATCTACAATTTGCAAGTTTTATCTTATTTTATGAACAAATATAGTTTCCATTTCCTTTTACTGCTTCTTATCTTTCAAAGTATTTTACCATAACGTTTACATAAAATTTGTTGGTAAGTCTGTTTAAAAAAAACACTTTAATATGGTTTTTATTGACTTCGACACAGTTTCGAAGATTTTTCCTGACATAAAATATGTACAACGGTCACTTAGATGAATGATTACCCTCACGGCGTAATGTCGAGTAAATACAGTAGCGGACAAAAAAGTTACCATTTTTCTGATTCGTTATATTTCTATTATTTCTTAACATCAACTTACATAATATATTGGATTTTATAGTTTTCAATTCTCTATCAAAATATATATTAAACCAATACTACTACAATTTTAAGTTAATGTTAAATAATAAAAAATGGTAACCTTTGTGTCCTCTACTGTACATTAAATACTATAAACTTTCCCAATAAAAATAGCAATGTAGTTTTGTTTTTACACTTTTTATATAGAGTAACTGAACTACACTGTGTGCTGGATTGTATTTCTTGACTTGTATTTCTCAGAAAAATAGGAAAGTTCTAAATGTAACTCAAACAGTGCGTACATATGAAGTGTGTTTTTGAGGTAGTGTATGTTCGCTGTATCAATTTTCCATTTCTTCAGTAAAAATGATAAAGACATTGGACATGAAACGGCATGAATTTTCCGGGGGACCTAATAATTATGAGCCCGTTTGGTTCTTACGTTTTCTTAATTTGTATCGAGTATTGTGATCGTTTTTGCTGCATCGATGCTACACTGATGATTGCTTTTTGCCACAAAAGCGGATTCTTTGTAGTAGGAAAATGGAGTTCGTCACTTATGTTCATTTAGTAGTGTTCGACTGAAAAAAGCGTTGTTGCATTTAATTTTGTTAATTCTTTCGTGTTTAGAAGACACAAAATTCCTGGTCGAACACCTAAATTTCTAATTCTTCGAATACTTTCAAGTGTAAACTGTTACACAAGACGCGTTGTAATTTACAATTTTTTGTATTGTATTTGCGTGTACTTATGCTTTGTTTGCGTATGTGTGAATATGTGCATTGCTCGGAGTTAATTTATAATGATGGATTTTCACTTTAGTCAGAAATGCGTGGTTGTAGTTTGGTATCGTTTCCCATCATTAACACATTTCCCAATATATTATTTAAGTCTGTTTAAAGTCATCTACAAATTTTTATAATTATATACGAGCGAAATAATCTTTGTTAGCAAAGATGTATTTATTTATTATGAACAAATTCAATGAACCTGTATCATACGTATTAGAAGTAAAAAATAAATGACTAATCAAACGAAGGGTCGAAGTCGTATTTAAGTTTTTTAATTTGTTTTTGTAACATTTAAAATTGCTCCAAGTTACAGTCAATTCAATTTCCGTTAAGTAATTATCATCATTTATTCTACTCAAGGTTATTAATTGAATAGTCTATAATAAGAGAAATATCAAAGTTATTTGAAAAAAAAGTAATAGTAAATTAATTTATATTGAAATAAGGACTTAGATATCTAATTCCTATTATTACTGTATACACTTGCCTGTTCAATACTCTCGCAGGACTTAACAGATATCAGGCATGACTTAAAATTTGTCTAAAAAACCATACACATCTGTTTCCGCATTAAGACACAATGATAATGCAAATTGGCAGCATATCCGCAGCAAGTCTTGCAACACAACCCAGGCTAACTAACTTAGGTCAATTTATAACCTACGCTATGTTGCAAGACTTGCTGCTAATCTGTTGCTAACTTCCGTGCAAGTTATTGATAGCAGATCATGCATCAAAGTTGTAGCCATGTTGAGTACGTAACATTATAACGAGCATTGGACAAAATTTGGCTTTACAGGTTTGGCTGACTGGACATGTTCAAATTCCAATATCCACCATTTTGAACATATTCTTCCAAGTGCTAGATGATACGATAGTTTGTAAACAAGAGATATCTTTTGACGATGTTGCAATGTTTATATCAATGGAATCCTAATAGAGTACGGGAATCATGTACATCGTCTTGGATATGCTTTTAGAAGAATAACTCCTACGAAGGTCATTTGAAGGTCAACATAATATACATAGTTGAATTTGTCTTTTCATTACCCATAACGCTACACTAATTAAAATACGTTACCTCATTTTAGAAAACGACGATGACCTTGAAATATCGGAAAATATGACCTTGAGAAAAAAACTGTATCATAATAATTGCTTTACTGGAACAAACATTTTTTCCCTTACACATTTTCTCGTACCATTGAAGCTAGAAGAAATATTTCAAATGAAGATCTTGCGTGATTCACCCTGTATAGAAATCATCGATGGATTCGAGTAGTTGCGAGAAAGGTGACATCAACTTCGAAGCCCTCTATCGACGCATACAAGAAATGCCATCGCAAGCCTCCAGCAAGTCGCGCCCCCAGCGGCCGTGTTTCAAATTAGCTACTCTAACAGTCCTCTCCGGTGGCTTCCATTCACCAGGCGGCCGACTGACGTCACCGGGCGCAAACTAGCGAGGTCCCGATAAATGCGCGACCGTTAGCCGGTAGCGTCCGCCAGAGAACTCGATCCTCCGGCAGGATCTGGCATCTGGTTGCGTCACGCGCCGATACAACCGAACAGGCGCACACAGACGAGCGCCCGCGAACGGATCTCTCCTCTCGTTCTCCTGTCCCTGCACCCAACACCATTGGGGATCATCCGTGTCCTGTGTGTTGTCTGCCCAGTCCTTGACGCAGAGGCCTCGATCCCGGCGAGAGATGAGCAAACTCGAGATCCGTGAGAGATTCGACGTGCTTCCTCGAACGGAGCACCGGACTACTCCGACCAGTTCGGATGATCGTTTTCCTCGAACGGTATTGCGCGCGCTTTCTTGCTTGGCCACGGAATCTTCTTCCTCGATCGATCCAACTACGCGAGTTGCCCCGCCATTTTTTTTTCTACCCGACTTCGTTCAACTTCGTTTCGTCTCGACAGGCCGTGTACAATCGCGCCGCGGGTTTTCTTGCTGTCAAGGAAGCCTCCGGCGGCCGAAGGTCATCTCACGTCGTCTGATCGATCGCGTTTCCGTGTGTACACAATCGAGGATCCTTGTCTGGGCGCCCTCGATCAGCGCCGTTTTCCGTTCTTTTCGACAGTCCCAGCGGGATTCGAGATGTGATGTCTCGATTGGGGGTAAAGGGTGATCCAGAGTTGAATGGGAATATGTGAAATAAGTATTATTTAGGCTGAAGCACGAAATGTGATCAGCTTAGATTATTCTACTGCTAGCTGTTCGATCGAAAAAGTTTCTGGCTAGTGTAACATGTTTCAAGGGGAGCTCTAACAGGATTGTATCAAATTTTTTGTCAATCCTTTTTTCCTCAGAGTTTTCAAGGTTACCTTTAGTTTTTTGTAGATAAACCCACAATTTTTTACGTTCATCTTCTAGCGGATACTGAGACCAATTTGGCAAGCAACATAGCAAATAATTTTTAATCTTCTGAACCAAAGAAACATTAAGAAAATTCCATTTACCTTAATTAGAACAAAGTTTAAAGTGGTGTCCATCAGGCTACAACACACTCGTGTAAACGGTTAAGAAACGAGTGTTTAGTTCTATTTATGACGTCTGCAGTGATGGTTGAGCATGCAAAAAAACTGGGTCGAACAGCTAGTAGTAGCATAATCTAAGCTGATCACGTTTCGTGGTCTACCCTATACAATACTTATTTCACATATTCCCATTCATAGAATATACCACCACAACGTCCAATGTCTCAACTTTGGATCACCCCTTACACCCAATCCACACATCCCAGTCAATCCTCTATATCGAAACTAGGGGTAATCTTGATTAAGTCAGAAGTGACGTTGTCAGAAAACGATCATGTTCCATTTTGCAGCTTTGCAAATCGTTAAATTGATTTTTACGTAATAAGGTGTTTCAGAATAGAGCTTATGTTAATGAAACCCCAAGAAATACTTGATATTCACGGGTAGTACACGTTGAACCTGGACCCATCGCTGTTCACGAGTAATCTCGCGTCGCGATCAGTAAAATTCTAACGGAGCCTCGACCGGTCGGATCGGGGCAACCTTGACAGTCTCGGGTAAACGTGGAAACATTGTTAACGTTTCCTTCGATACTTTCACTTTCCTTCCTCGTTTTTCGCGGCAAGTGCACGGAGCACAGGCTCTCGTTCGCGAACCACGATCAGGCGGGACACGTGCCTCCGCCGCGTTTAGACGGTGTCTAACGGTAAACCGCGATGGGGATTTCGTTTCCATCGCTCGAAAATCGGCCGCGACCGTTACTGACCCTACGTTTCGCCTGCCCTCTTTCC